TTTTTTTAGGTTACTTCTCCTGAGTATTGATCTGAAACATCTTTTTCCCCATGTAGTTCATTTTGTTTTGTTCAACACTGCAATTTGTATAACTATGTTTATCTTCTTGCTTTTACTTTGTAGTGCAGCACAGCTACTTAGCTACCCTGGCAAGAATAAAATTCCCTTAAATTATCATATTGTTGAGGTATGTGTGTGCTAGTCAATGTATTTTGTGTAGATATTTTGCATTTTAGTTATTTTGTATAGCTGTGTAGAAAAAAAAAAATGGAATTCACAAATCAGCCTGTGGTAGATGCCAATCTGACAAACCAACTGTCTTCCTATATTTCTGAGCAAGTCTAGTTGCATACTTTTCATAGTCTTCATTTCAATCTGTTTCTAGATTCTCATTTTGATATGTTACCTTTCATGTCATATTGTAAAGTTATAGATTTACATTTTTGCATGTCCAGAAGAGATATATGTATAGTAATTTTCTGCTATCCAAACCACCATTTTCCACCCCAAATATTTTGCCTTTTGAAATGTTTTTATAGATACTGTTCTTTAAAAAAATAAAATTTAAAAACAAAAGATTGAAGGGTTACAGGTTTGTATAACTTTCTCCATAATTTAAAATGAATAAACCTTATTCTAGATGTGGCTTTTTAAATAGATGATTAATCATTTTCTGTTCAATTTCAGGTCATTTTTGCAGAGTTGTTTCAGCTTCCTATGCCTCCACATATTGACGTTATGTATACAACACTGTTAATTGAACTTTGCAAGCTGCAGCCTGGGTCTTTACCACAAGTGGTATCCCTTTTTTTTTTTTGAGAAGATTTCCTATTTTGTTCACGCAGGCTTATGGTTGTAACTATGTTTTGATATCACTAAGTACATGGGACTCTTAAAGCATATCTAAACCCATAAATAAACACTTAGCAGTCATTAGATGTGGAGGCTACGTTTTCTTTCAATTTTTATTTCTACTGGTGATCCTGCCAATAGCACATTCTCTGTCCTTGGATGACAACTCGCTGTGTTGTCACCCTAGGCTGCTCTCCTAGACTGCGAACACTTCTCTTTCCATCTTTTATATCATAGTTGGGAATTTGTCTTATGTAGTTTACGAAAGATAGCAGGGAAGGAATATAACTTTATTTGATATTTCAGTTCAGTGAACAAGAAGTTAAGGTGGCCATACACTCTACAACCATCGCAAGACTTTAGTCTTGCGATGGTTGTAAAGGGATTAAAAAAACGTACGATCTGCCTATCTTGGACAGGCAGATCGCACTCTCGATCATCGCAAGCCCGCCCTCCTGAGGGGCGGGCTTCCGATGACCGCAATGCTGAACGGGCAGTGTGCGCGTGCGCAAACCGGCCCGTTCAGCATTTATCTTCCGAGCACCGTTCTAACCAGCCGAGAATCGTACGATTCCCGGCTGGTTTTCGAACATGCTGGTTCGACAGAAGACGTGCGACCGTACAGTAGAAACGGTCGCACGTCTCCGTTCACACTGCTCGATTATCGTACGAAAACCCGATCGCATACGATTATCGTACGATAATCGTGCAGTGTATGGGCACCTTTACAGTGACACTGGTTTATTGCAGGGACACTGGTTTATTGCAGGATCAACAAGTACTTTGCCTGAAAAAATAAAATTCAGCCACCACATTGAAGGACTGATGAGCTGTCTAAACCCTTTTGTTCTTGGGTTTAGATACACTTTTAGGTACTACCCAGTGAAGGGGAGTGCAAAAGATACGAACGTTTGTGGAGGAAACCATTTTTTACATGGAGGTGATGGTCAATGATCAGGGGCAGCACCCCCTAAAATGAATCCTGTTACAAACCTGGGTAACTTGGACGGAGTATGTGATGAAAAATATGTAAGGCTACCTTCAATGAAAACTGCATGTTTAAATGATTACTTGGACAATGGCTCATGTAATTATAAATTGTTCTGTTTAAAGTTGAGCTTGGCTATTCAGTCCTTTTTAATGTGATGAGCAGCCTTACTGACAACATGGGGTGGGCCAAGCTCAACTTTTGCAGGAAAACATGAGATTTGCATGAAGCTGTCTATATTTATGGCTCTGCGGATCATAATTGAGGGATTAGGAACACAACAAAGGTAGGTCATGAAGTCTACATTTCTCACCCAAATTCCATCAATCTTTGCAGTAGTGGTGCTTTATTTTATTACATTGGAGGCATTGATTGCCTATGTCTCTTGTTTGATTGATATGGATATGTGTTTAGTGGTGCATTCCATAGCACCATCCAGAGGGGGTTCATAACCCTTGAATCACCACTGTTCATGTTCCTTAACTTAACCTAAATAGCTTGCTCAAGCCACCGAAATGCTATACACTCGATTGGACACGATGAACTCTATTTGTGTGGACAGGTAATTATTTTTTGCTGGAGTTAGTTTGGATGGGTTTTAACTTTTAAGAACGATACACGTATACATTTAAGTCAAGAACAGACTATAGAAAGTACAGTTTTCAGAAAATGTTGAGGCACTTGCCTCTGAGCATATTCTGTCTGTCCAAGTCTCCTTTCCCTGAAGTCAAGGATTAGGTCATCTAGGCTTTAAGCAGACTAAAAATCACATCAGCATACAGCTCTGCATACTGCTATGAAATTATCATGCATTCATTAGATAAACACACCGGCAATTATCTGTATGTGTTTTGTAGATTTAAATTACTACACTTCTAAAGGTGCCTTTGTTGTTATTTTGAAGATACACTTTAAAGAAGAACTTTACCCGTATTTCCACCTTTGCAGTCAGGTTTGAGAAAACCCTTTATATGTTTGTGATCCTATTCACAGCATACAGGAAAATTCATAAAAAATATTTCATCTTTTGGATGTTTTGTTAAAGCAGGCAAGATGGCTGATTCCAGGTTTGTCTCAGCAGCTTCATGGGGATATTTCCTTATGGAAAGACTGAGGACTAAAGTTTTAGAATTTTCTTTCACTGAACATTGCAAGAAAGATGAGCAAGTAGAAATGTTAACATTCAAGTAAAAGCCATTTAAACTGCAAGAAGTACATTTTTTAATTGTGTTTGTTTATGGTATGTGAATTAGCGCATGTAACAAATATAAAATAGGTGTTATCCCAATTTGGCTGCAGAAGTGGAAATATACTTTAAGCCTTCTCTGCAGTTGTCCCAATGGTTTTTCACCATTGTATGTGTATTTGAATTTTTCCTGATGGGTTCTTTTTTTTTTTTCTCTTCTCTTTGGCCTTCTAAACTTGAACATGAATGAACCCATAGTATGTGGGTTAGAAACACAAAAGTTGCACTCGAAAACCAACGCAACACCTTTGAGTCCTCCTGATAAACTGTATGTTTAGGTTATAATACACTAGTTGCCTCTTCCAAAGCTCAGCAACAATATAGTACTGTAAATAAAATGGATTACATTTACAGCACAGAAAGCTCATTTTGCACTGTGGGAAATACTTGGCACTAACTCAGTTTCTTTTGCTTCAGCACTTATATATTGTAATAAGGGAAGGATACAAGTTCTAGACTGTAAATGGGGGAGGTAGAAAATTGGTTTGTAGAGAGTGCAGTAGAAGGTATACTTAAGAAAAATACTTTTTTTTTGAAATGCTGAACATTATCTACTTTTTTTTTCATCTCTTTTTAGGTTCATAAATTGGTTTTCTCACCACCTAAGTAATTTTCAGTTCCGATGGAATTGGGAAGATTGGTAAGTGTTTTATAAATAGTCTGCTACATGAGTAGGCTTTTTAAAGTAACTGACAGGTCCACTTTTAAGCAAATTTGTCACATATTAAGTAAGGTTGCCGTGTTCCAGAACATAAAACAATTGTTTAACTCCAAATTTATGCTGTCTTTACAGTGTGTCCAACAGTTAAAAATATGTTCTTTTGGAACAAGTGACACTCCAGATAAAATCTCTTTAAAAATTCTTAGGTATGCACCGATATATCGGCCGCCGAAACATATCGGCCAAAAATGGCACTTTTGGCATAATGCCGAAAGAGCCATGTTTCGGCCGATACATCGGCACATCCCTGGTTTCTTTTCTCCCCGCTGGACGCTGTTCCAGCGGGGAGAAAAGAAATTGACAGCCGGCCGAGTGCTGCGGTGGAGAGCGCTGTGAACGGCCGGCGTCTCTCCTCCCACAATGCTCAGCCGCCTATCAGTCCGGCAGAGCGGTGTGGGGGCGGAGACAGCGCTGTCACAGGAGGCTGGGCTTTCTTCTCTACACCGCTGGATCAGCCTCCTGTGACAGCTTGTCGGAGAGAAAAGCAATGTACACACACTCACCGATCAGTGATCGCTGAGTGTGTGTACATAATTGAGGATATGTTATGTTAACTATATCCTCAATTATGAATGAATGGGAGTGATCTACATCACCTCCATTCATAATTGTAGTTATAGTAAACAAACAATGTACTCATGTTATCAATGAACAGGAACACTTGTAGAGGATTCCTGTTCATTGATAACAGGGGGACACAGAAAAAGAGATTGAGGACTTTGTGTTCTCAATCTCTTTTTCTATTTTAAAAGGGAAATATCAGGGGTCTGTTTAGACCCCTAATATTTCCCCAAAGCCCCTAAAAGTAAAAAAATAAAAATATTTAATAAAAAATGAATTGATAAAAATGAATATTAAAAAAATATTTTAAAAAATTGAAAATAAACATTTTCCGTTTCGGCCTGACATTTTTTTTAATTTCGGTGCACCTCCTAAAGATTCTAATAGTGAGGGATGCTGAACTCCTCCTGTCAGGTGCCTGATGGTATCTGTTTTCTCTTGGGTATTTTTCCAACCGGACAGGTAGTTGAGTGTGTAATGTACCCAATGGGAACACACGGGGCAATCCAAATGTAAAGTGACCTATACCCCACTATCCAAAAACTACAAACCTAGCTCTCACCATTGTGCTGTACCTGTTCATGTCAAATAAAAAAAAGAGGGCCACGATTAAGCAGAGCTTTTGCATTACGCACACGGCCGGTATGGCTGTCTATATTTTGTCCGTTGCCAAAGAAGAAACAATATAGTGTTTCCTCACCTGTGTGGTGCTGTTGCCCAAGACTAGGTGTGACTATTTAAAGAGGGGAATAGGTTAATGGGCAACCTGGGTGCAACAAAGTATATAGTCAGAAATGTTTCCTTTTATATTAAATGTGTTTTTAATATAACTACAATAGCTGCATCTGTCTTGATATCCAACCCTTGCACAGTGGGATGTAGAATGGGAGAGGGAGGGGTGCATTGGCATCTAATTGGGCATGCACATGTTCTGACAAGAGGGGAGAGCAGAGTAATATCATAAGCGTGTTGCTCCTTCTCCATTGTCCATTTAGCAGGGTTGGTGTTAGCACAATTATTACCCCTAACACAGAAAATGGAGTCAATCTCCTGGCTACAATATGTAGCAGAGGTGTGTGATATACAGAAGTGGCACATACCATATGTCCTTTTTCCCTTTTTGATGCGACTGCCTTTACTCTTTACCTTGTCAATGCTGTGATCAAGAAACTGAACAGGTGTCAAACACTGTTAGTATTATAACCTGGGGCAGTTCGGAAATGGATATTGGTCTGAAATAGAATGAATTAGCAGAATTGTTTGTTTAATAAGGAAGTAAATGCTTATGTGAAAAGCGTAATTGAAAGTACATACTCTCTTGTGCCTACATATAGGTTTTAAAGGCTTCTTGAGGGCTATGCACGTGTCTGCTCAATAGATCGGAAACTGAGCGAACACATACCATCACTCACTCACTTCTCGAACATCAGTCACCGCTCCCCACAGGGATTCCCCCCTCCCCTGTCCGATCCTCCAACGCTGACTGGAGGAATGGGAGGGGGCAGGTATAGCTGTCTCTGCCTCTAGATAGGCAGAGACAGCTGACATTCACGCAGCTGGGTGGGTGGATCTCGACAGCATTGTCGGGATCCATCCTGGCTGCGGCAGTCTCCGTATACTGCGAGCTATAGCTTGCAATATACTGAGCTTTAGGTCACGGGAGTAGGTTAGTATATGTCCTCCCGTGACCCTTAAGAGAACTATGGGGAAAAACACTTACCCCATAGTTCTCTTTTAAGCTTACAGGTTTAGATATTTTCACCTCCAGAAAAGGTTTCTTTTATTATGACTCAGTGCATGTGCAGTTCATTGACTTTTTTTCTCTTGATGTTGCAGGTCTGACTGTCTTTCTCAAGATCTAGATAGACCTAAGCCTCAGTTTGTTCGTGAAGTTTTAGAGAAATCCATGAGGTAGGTACCATGCTGCTTTGTTGCGGTATAATGCTAACTTCTCAATTTTTCTGTTGGTCATGCTCCGCTTTAGTTTGTCAGCTACCACGTGGAAAATTAACAGAAAAATTCCAAACAGTAATGTCAATAGTTCTGTCCAACCTTCAAATTAACTTTAATATAGCAAATCCATCCATACTGATATATCTTAGGCTTTGGTTTAGACGAGCAGAATAATTTTATTCCTATATCTCTCAAGTGGAAAGATCTCTCTACATGATCAGTGCCCCACTGTGGCCATTTTGAGATCAGGCTCTTGCTTAATTTTTATAATTACTTAATTAATACCGGAGCAACTAAGACTGACATATGACCTGTGTTGTTTTCCAGCATGTTGTAGTATGGTAACAGGCCATACCAGGAAGGATTTTTATTGCTAGCCATTGAAATAGTGACTTCCTTTCATGAGACCCTCTCACCACCCCATGCACATTAAGTTAAACCGTGCCAGTGGCTGGGGAGGCCATGCTCTATCTGCATTGACAAGTCTTCGCAGATCTCCAAGTCGATTTTTAAAATATACCTCTAAGCTTTAGTTGTTGCACAGTGGGGGAGTGAAATAAAGGCATACTGAATTACCAATATGTAAATTTACTTGCTATGTATAAAGTATCTATACCCAATCTTAATTTTGAGGTAGAAAGTGGGAAAGCTAGAAACCCTGTCAGCTTTTACTAATATCCAGGGCTCTTTTAGATGCCTTCTCCCTTCCGCCTCTGGGGACAATGTTTTATCAGACAGGAGTTTGGGAAAATCTTCATAAAAAGCTGACAAAGGTTCTAGCCTTCACCTACTTGACACAAAAGAGCAGTTTTGCTTCTGTCTGAGATTTCACATCACAACGTTTTTACCAGATAGGAAGTGTGAGAATTTCTCCAACTGGGCCTCTGACTGCAGTAAAACCTGAGAAATTCTAATCCCGAACCTACTCCATCCAAAACTAAAAAAAAATGTTGTAGCTATAGATGCACTCTAACCCCTTCATGACTGAGACTTAATTTTTTGCACCATGTTATATTCCACATTGTAGGCCTGAAAATTACTTAAAACCCCCAAACATTATATATTTTCTGAAAGCCAAGACCCTTCACGGGACTCTAGAAGCGATCTGGCGGCAGCTGAGTCACCAGAATCGCTTCTATTGTAAAGCCGACAGTCGGCTTTACAAGTTTTTAAACAGTTTGCCGCCGGGAGTATGTTTAAACAGCCCCGATGCTGGCGACGTACACTGTACGTCAGTCACGAAGGGGTTAAACTGATGAGCGCAGGATAGTGACGGGGTCTCTAGCGTTCTGCGAGCAACAAAAAGTGCTTTTGATGTAGCTATACCTGTATAAGTCCTTTTCAGGAGGCTCATATATGCCCAAAATACAAGCAAGCGCGTTACTAGGGATTTGTACTTCATACACAGAATTAATCACCTCTATAACCACATGCCAGTATCCTCTTAACTTCGGGCATCGCCATACTAAATGAATACATGAACCTGGTTCCAAACCACATTTTGGACATCTAGAATCTCCCCTAAAACCTAATCTATACAAAGTCAGCTCAGCGGAGCTGGCCCCCCTTCAATTAACAATCGTGCTGCTTTTATTTTAAAGATAATAGCAATTGGTTTTTTTAAGTTGGTGACATCACCCAGTCCTCCCACAACAGCAAAAAGACATGGCACTGGGATGGTTGGTTTGTGCCATAGAAAGTAACTTTTGTGCTGCTTTAATTTTTAACGTAGCAATTATCGGTCTCCAAAGGTGACCTTTTTGGTTTTAGGATAATTGCTGTTGTTTTAAAATTAAAAGCAGCACATATGTTAATTTTTGTGACACTAGCCAGCTAACCCTGTTGCGTATCTTTTGGCTGTTTTAAGGGGGCTGGATGACCTTTTTAGTGACCCTTAATAAATAGATAACTCAAAAAAGAAAGATAGAATGGAACAGCACTAACCAGCCAGCCCGGTTTCATGTCTTTTGTCTGTTGTGGGAGGGCTGGGTGATGTCATCGTAAAAAAAAAAAAAATGCTATTATCTTATAAATAAAAGCAGCACAAATGTTAGTTTTTGTGGCACAAAACAGCACAAACATAGCACAAAAGAAACACACTGGAGTTTTGATTTGTGCCGATTTGTTGGGAGGCCAGCTTCACTGAGCTCAAAAAGTCCAGAGTACGATATATTCTATGCAAGATAAACAGTTGTGTCAATCTGTGCGGAGCCTACAGGGAAACCAATTGAACTGATTTATTTGCCTTTTCCCGAGGTTGTCCTCCAATGGTCCCAAATCGAACTCCCACTTGATCGATTGTACTTTTTAAAACATTTAAAGAGATGCTAAGGTTTAAATGATCTTAATGAAAAAGAAAGAACTAAAACTTCTAATGGTCATGACATCTGGACAAAATGGGCCAAGCACCTGTAGAAATCTCATCCTAACCATGAATCATGTGACAAATTACATTATTTTCTTTTGCAAAGTATCTTTGTTCTAAAGTTATCAATGTTTGCATAGGCTTTCTTACTATCAGCGGATATTGGACATCGTGCCGTCATCCTTTTCTGCCTTGTACCCAGCAGAGCCCAAGTGTGTTAACAAATATGAGGATGAGAGCAGCAGTAAGTGTTTGTTCCAAACATTCCTTCTCAATAACCATTTCTGATTTTAAATTTGTCATCCTGCCACTTTTGGAGTATGATTGATTGATCCTGACTTTTGTTTACATGATACTTTATATAGCATAATTTCATAGTGCAGAGCTCTTTGTATAGGATATAAATAATCAGAACAGTTGAGCTGTATTAAGATCTAACATGAATCAAGACATTGACAGTGGAAATATGTTAATTGTATCTGGTCAGTAAACGGCTCTGTTTCTTGAGGATAAATTGCTTTTAACCTGCTTAGCGTTGTGTTTTTTTAACATGCATGTTAAAATGCGCTTTTTAAGCCTGTAAATTACATACCACCTCCCAAAAATCCACAAGAGCCTAAATACAGCACCATGATGACTGCTGAAAGTTTCCATAAGCTATGTCGTCGGGAATGGATTTAGACATTAAACACATTAGACTCAATTCACAAATCTTTTACACAAGAATCATTTTTAAATTTGCCATGTGACTGTTATTTTCAAATCTGATTGAAAAGTAATGGTTATTTTTTGAAAATAAGTATCCTTTACTGGTGTGTTAGGCTATTGTCACCTATGAGCTTGAACAGGTACTTTGAAATTGGCACCATTTTGTAAAATATACTTGTCCCTATACATTTACTAATCAGCATACCTCCTCTGCCACATATAGGCCCCATTCACACACAAATTGGCCTGCACGTATAGCTCCGTGCTGCGTGCGGAGTCGTACCAAGCAGCTGCCAGGAAGGACAGGTGCTGCGTGTGATTAGTACGCAGCCCCCGTCCTCTATGGGGCTACGCGGCCGTACACCCCCCCTACGCTCACCTCCATTTGCAGTTCCGTAGGCCCTGCACTGAGCTGTACGTGCCGTACGATTCGTGTGAATGGGGCCATAGTCTAAACACGTATTCTTCCTCTCTTGGGCATGTTCCTTTTTTGTCATTCCTTCTGGTAGTACTTTTGCCAGTTTACTAGTCTGTTGTTCCATCTGTTTGAGTGTTTGTTCGTGACTAGTGCAGGCTTGGAGGCTCCTTGGGTGGAGCCATTTTGGCGGTGAATTGTCCTGGTCAGGTGGATTCTCTTTGGCCTTTCTTTGGTCTAGCAGATTCATTGTACTCATCTGGATTAGATTCAGGCATTGGTCCTTCTGCTTGTCATGTTTCCGCCAGTTCCATCTCAGATCCATTAGTGGCTGTTGCCTACTCCTCCGTTGAACTGCTTTTGGACATTCCAACAATTTCTAAATTTCCTCAATGAAGAAAATAAGATTTTTGTGCTTGCCGTAAGCCCTTTGAGGCACAGAGGTCCCACCGTACTGTGGTGTTGGCCCTGTGTATTGCTTTCTCATAAACTGAGGCATTCTGGGTAGAGGAGTGGTTTATAAGAGGGCTGGATTACAATTTGCCCGTGTCTGAACCTCCTGGTGGTGGCAGTATAATCGGACTGTTTCTGAATTCCTGTGTCTCTCAATGGACAGTGATGAAATAGATTTTACATTAAGTACAAAATATTCTTTTTTGAAAGCGGAGAATAAGATGTTTGCTAATTTTTATTTTTGAGCAATATTTGCACAACTATTTTTCAAACCTATATTTTCAGTTAAAAAAAAAAAAACAACAAATTAATTTCAGTGCACACAAAGCCAATATAATTATAGTCAGTTTTATTACCTCGAATGGTAAAAATTGCCCGCTGGCTTACATGTTTCTCCAAGGATTCCCTTGGTGGAGTTTTTGGAACTTTACATTGTATAGCCCTTACAAAGCCGAAAGGATTTAGCCTCTTCCAGATTATTTTTATTATGTAAAATAAATAAATGGAAAATCTAGCAGTGAATGTGGGGCCATCTTATGGTGACCTCAAGAAGTGAGTGGAGCTGAAAAGTTTGGTGTAGAAATCTTCTTGACGGATATTAGAGGGTAGATGATTCAACCCAGCAACTTCCACAGGAAAGAGTGTAAGGGATAATTATAGAAATGACTACAAAATTAGGAAAAACCATGTATAGCTCTATGCTTAATCTTGTCTATTAAGCTGATAATTGCCAATTTGTTTTCAGCAGTGGTTAGATTTGGAGAAAAAATAGAAATAGCCCAGAATGTCTTAAAGGAGAACTATGAGATGAGTGATTTCCACTCACCTCATAGTTCTAGCCGACCTGTGACAATGAGACTGTCACAGGTCGGCTCAGTAGATCGGGAGGTGAGAGAACACATACCGGGTTCCCTCACCTCTCGATCCTGTCACGGCTCTCTGCCATGACAGGGGGAGGGGCTGGATTCCCCTCTCCCCGCTCCGATCTGCCAGCGCTGACTGGCGGAACGGACGGGGGAGGGGGCGGGTACAGCTGGCTCTGCCTCTAGATAGGCAGAGCCAGCTGTCACTCACGCAGCTGGGCGGATCCAGTCATCTAAGTCGGGAACCGCTGCGGCGTCTCAGTATACCGCAAGCTGTAGCTCGCGGTATACTGAGCTTAGGGTAACGTTACCCCAAGGAGAACTATGGGGAAAAACACTGACCCCATAGTTCTCCTTTTAAATTGAAAGTTAAGTTTGTTTAATAAGACCTGATTTTTTGGTTATAGCTTTTAGGTACACTGTACTTATCTGAAGTGGTGTTTTTAGTTGTAGTAAATGTATTTTTGGCATTGCTAAACGTATCCCCTATATTATGTTTACCCATTTAATCATAATCCGTGTTGGTTATAACTGGTATGGTAGATTGTATTGTCTTATTTTAAGTGTTTTTGTTTACTTTTCAGGTGCTCTACCTGGATATGCAATTGCTGTGGTTTTGACAAATTCTATAAAAAATAAGGCTATGAGTGATGATATTTTAAATATTTTAAAAGATTTACCAAATCCTAATCAAGATGATGATGATGGTAAGTATATCTGTTTTGCATTTGGCGGCACATGGTTTTCGAATGAATGTTGCATTCAGAATAAATTTGAGGCAGATTGCATAGACTTTCATTCTGTTGCTTTTTTTGTTTTGTTTCACTTGTAGATGAAGGAATCAGCTACAATCCACTCAAAATAGAGGTTTTTATGCAGTGCCTGCTCAACTTGGCCTGTAAATCATTCAGTCATTCATTTAGTGCACTTGCAAAGTAAGTAGAGTCAATTACTGAACTTTAAACTCTAGCAAATTGCCTTTTTGTTGACTGATTTATTTATTTTCCTCCAAGATTTCATGACGTATTGAAAGCACTGACTGACAGTGAAGAAGGAAAGCTTCATGTTCTGAGAGTTGCTTATGATGTCTGGAAAAACCATCCCCAGGTAAGGTGTTTCAAATGAAAAACTGTGGACTAATATTTCAATTATAGGTGCATATAATGGAGTAGCATCCATTTTGTGTGGGTTTTCCTTTTAACCACTTCAGTACCTGCATGTTAGTCCCTTCATTACCAGGCCTTATTTAAATGTTTCAGTGCTGTGCA